AATCTGTTCCTATATATACTGTATTTACTTAGAAGTGGAATGCTTTCATAAAAATGCCTTTATTAACTCACGTGCATGCCAAAGTAAGTAAAGTCCTAATTTACTTATTGAACTTTATTTCTGAAGTTAGATTGTAAAAAATAGTGCTACAGTCCAGCCATGAACGACATGGTGGCCTACTGGTGAAGACACTTGCTTGCCGCTCAGAAGGCTGAGAGTTCAATTCTAGGTAGCTGCAGATGTTTCTCTCCTAGGGCACAAAGAAAAAAAAAATCTACTGCAAACTCACATAGGTATCAGCAAGGTCATCTGGCCAGGAAATGGTCAGCTCCATCCAGTCACCCTGATTCTACCCCTAATTAAGGGACTACAGGGTCATAAAAAGGGTGTTAGTGTTATAATCTAGCCCTATATATGTCTACTTAGAAATCCTGACAAACATATCCCCAGGTTTAAGAATGTATGGTGCAGCTTGGCTTATCAATTTAACTTTTTTCAATGAATTGCTTTCTGATATATTTTGATATATTCAGTCAAGCATCTTAAGGATTTAATGTATCTTTGACCATAATTCACTAACACTAACATGTTTCAGAATCTTACTTTCGTAATTGTTTTTAAGCAACAGAATATTGGAAAGACAGATGCTGTAAAATATGAAAGGCTTAAAATGCCATTTTTTTGTTTGCTATTTATTTGTTGTTAACTCTTTTAGGAATTAAAGGTGATGGGATTTCACCTGGGATTTTTTCTTCTAATTTCCTCCCAAACCACATCACTGTAAGGAAGGATGTTAGCAAGATACTGGCTAAAGTTAGTTGATACTACATTGTAGATTAAGACCTAGGTCTCCCAGATGGTAGTCTAGTGCAGGGATCTCCAACCTTTTGGACCTCAGGGATCACTAAATACATAACTTTAAATCCCGTGGACCACTAACATGATCTGCCTAATGACTTGCTGGGTGGGCGTGGCTAGGTGGTCATGTGACTGAGTGGGCATGACCAACTCGATGTCACTCATGTCAAGAGGCACCTTGCTGGCCTCTAACTTGCCCTTCCCCTCCCAACCACTCCTCAACTGCCCACCCGGGCTCCTTAGGACGCCAATAGGAAGCAGTTGTTGGAGCTTCACACAGCCAGCATGAGAAAGAGTTGGCAAAACAGCTGGCTCAGTTCAAATTGGATCTGACTGAGAAGGAGGCTCAGCAGAAGCACCTCACTGAGGACTAGGTAACAGTAACAGAGTTGGAAGGGAGCATAGGCTTTCCAAGCAGAGGGAAGACCTGTGGGAGTGCAAGGCCAGGTACTGGCGCCTGGAGGCTCAGTGGCCAGTTCTAGGCCATGATACAGTCTCACTGGAACAAGGCCCTTTTGTCTTTGCCACCAGCGGCCCTTCCCTCCAGCCTTCTGGAGTAGGTCCTGCAGCAGGAGGCTGAAGCAGACCCAAGTCGGAATTTCTGCCGCCTTCCAACCTGCACAAAAAACCACAAAGGGGGAGACTCTCTGCAGCAACACAAACGTTCATTGCACGTATCTGGCCCAGGAGCCGTAGTTTGAGGACCCCTGATTTAGTGCAATATAAAAAATGCAAATAATTTTTCTGTGGACCACCAACATTTTCTTGTGGACCACCAGTGGTCTATAGACCAGCAGTTGGTGACCACTGGTCTAGTGTCCTGCCTATTATCCCACACTGGATTTTAGGCTGTTCCTGATCCAACACACTAATCATCATGCCATTTACACAATCTCTATGGATAGATACAGTGATTGCTACAGAACACTTTAAAACAAATTCCAAAGGTTGGTGGTAGAAAGGTGATGATACTTTATCCAGTTTAGCAACAGAAATATGTGCTAAGTGTACAATAGAGCTATACTTTAACTAAGGATACACATTTAAATTGGGCCAAAATTATACAGCCGGGTTTATCAGAAAGTAGGCTCATTCAGGACATCCCTGTCATTGTGTATATAATATAATGATGAAAACAGTAAAGGGGAACAAGTATGATATTCTGAGATATGTCATGCATGATCTGCCAAACATTTCCTGTTATACATGCTGTTCGGATAATGTTCCTGGAATCTAGAGGTCATTACACTGTTTCATGTGAATCAATGAGAACTAGCCAAGTTTGCAAAACACCTCAGAAAGCACACAAAGTTATCTCTGAAGTACAGCATTAGTATCACATCACTCTTAAGTGCAGCATGAGAGCCCATCTGCCACAACTCCAGACATGATCTGAATGTTCTCTTTTCCTGTTTTGGTACTGCCATCAAACTGCTCATTGGTTTCGTGTGAATTTAATACACAATTTCCAGAGATTCTGTAGGAGGCATGTCTTCCCCAAACCCCAGTTCTGAAGAAGTGGAAGGGTTGAGTTAAAATGGAAGTCATGGTAAAAGCTGCAATCTCTTTTGGTGGAGGCAGCAGCAGTTTTCTTACACCATATGATCAGCTTTTTTTTGGATTTTACAGACCAGGGTTTCTCAACTTTGGCAGCTTTAAGAAGTGTGGATTTCAGCTCCCAGAATTATCCAGCCAACATTCTTCTTATGTTGAGAAACAGTGTCATAGACATTTGTTCAAAGACAACAGAAGGTTTACAAGTAAAGGTGGGAAATAAGAATGAGACACCAAAATAGTGCTTTCCCTTTTGTGCTTTTCCAAATTGTTGTACACTTAATGCCTCTTCCAAGATATTCTTCATACTTTGTCCTTTGATTTAGTCAGAAAGTGTATGCTTTTGACTTTTTTCTACACCAGAAAATAGGTTTGAAGAAATTATTATGGATGGTGACATGGAGTTATTAGACTTAATTATGAGGTGGCTGAAGAATATTAGTTGGTATCCTATACAGTCCAAGAGTCTGCGGTCTCCTTGGCCGCCTACATTTTAAATGCATCTCAGTGTCAAAAAGGGATTTTTTCCCATGAACTTTCCCCCCTCCCCCTATTACAGAGAGTGGGTAATCTCAGAGGCTATAGAACAAACTGACTATTAGTGGCTACCAATCAAACTGGAAAATATAGTTTGATCTAAGCTTAATTTCATTTTAGCACTGTTTTCTTTGTTTAGGATGGTGAAAACTATTAAAAGAAATACTTCATACCATATGGCAACACATATGAAGTATCTCTTTTGGAATAATTTCAGCCATGTTGTTTGCAAGGGCTGTGCAACTGCTTCAGAAGCAGCTCCCCATTGTCCTCACCTGCATGCATGTTCAGAAGGGATAATAAATGATAAAAAATTAAGAAAGGTGGGCAAAACTGTCTCATATGCTTATACTGCTAAGGATCACAGAGCCGCTTTGACACTAACATAATGGTTGCTGCATCCAGTACTTAAATTAAGATGGGAATTGAAACGGATCCCTTTGTAGTCACAAATAAATAACAAATGTGGTATGGTCAAAACATACTGAACAGTATGCAGGATGGGAAAGTTTCAGAAATGCAGTTGCATATGTGGTTGCCAGTCACTCCAAGAGAAACTTTATTACTTTGAATAATATTTCAAAAGGCAATGGGATTGCAGACTGACAGAACGGAAAAGGTCAACATTGTCTGGCACCCTGTCATAGGATCCCCTTGACATACAAATGTACTGCTCTTGATAACTTGAAGCTGGAAAAGCCCTGGGGGAGGGGGGGGGGAGAAATGGTAAGGTTTTTCGTACAGTTTCTCTATGGGAAGGAGAAGTTGAATTGGGGTAAAGAGCTGGCAGGAACCCAGCAGTGCTGGAGTTAAATTTAATGTGAGAGAAGGTGTTTAAAAGTGACATATTATTAGTATTCTGGAAAATCAGACTCTGTGGAAATGCTGATTCATGGAAGGAGGACAGTGATTGAGAAACGACATTCTCTTAGTGAAGAGATGGCCATCGACCCGATGCTACTGGACAGGCAAATACTATTAGAAATGGGTGGTTCCACAGATATCCAGATCTTGAATTATTAAGCGTTTTGAAAGTGAATTGCACTATCAATATGAACTGCACATGGAAGCCAATTGGTAATCATCACAATTGTTGGAGCAGTGATATTATAAGGGCATCGGGTTGTATGTGTAACTACTCAAGCTGCCGATCCTGGACTAGTTTTGGTTCCAAGTGTTCTTCGAGGGCAGTGCCATGTAGCACACACAGTGCAATAGTCCAGTTGACAGGTACATAAGATATGACTAGGGCTATGGATAGGGCGTCCTATTCTGTCATCCTGAACCATTATCAGTATGACTGTACATAAAATGGAATTCTGCAAAGGCCCTTTTGGATATGGCTGTCATCTGTTCATAGAGTGGGAACTATAACTCCAAGCTCACTTCCAAGATAAAAGCCAGAATTGTATGGGTGAACGTGACTCTATCTAGAACTAAAGCAGTATTTCTCAGGAATCAGATGGCTTTCAAATCCAAAGCCACTCCATCTTGCTGGGATTAAACCTGATCCGGTGCCTCTCTATCTAGATTCTAGAGTCCTGACAATGGACCATCACTTGGACAGAATCATCTCTTTTACCCTGATTGTAGCAAAATATTTTTTTCTGTATCAATTAGCTTTAGGGGAAAATCAGATATATTTCCTAAATCGGTTTCATTCATTGATATAAATATGCATATAAATCCCAGGGAGGGACTGTGGTAAGTATAAATTGGCATGCACAAACACAAGCTCTCAAATTTAAGCCATGTTCAGTCAAGGCAGGAATATATTCTTGAAATTTTGAAGAATAAGAACAAATCACTATATTGGATCAGACTGAGAAATGGCATGAACTAAGACAAAAAAAGCTTCCAAAGTTATTTCCTAAGGTCTTTAGGTATTGCTATTTTCAGCTCGGCAGCTTCAGCCACCATGACCATTGCTGAAAAATACTGAAAGCTGTAGATCAATAACTTTTCGAGGGCCACAACTTCTTTTCCTTCCTCTTGCAGAAATCTTCTTCCTAAAAAAAATGCCTGATAGTATTACACTATATTTTTCCCAGGTTAAACATGAAGCAAGGATCAAGCCTTCTTTTTTGTTCTACGGTGCTGCTAGTGATGCTTAGTTGTAACCATGAAGTTGCTGCAGAAGAAAACTCTCAACAACCTCAAGGAACTTGTGCAAATTGGATGTCTGGAGCACCAGGTCACCCAGGTCATAATGGAGAACCGGGGAGAGATGGACGGGATGGAAGAGATGGCCAAAAGGGAGAGAAAGGAGATCTAGGTGAGAGGTTTAATATTTAGCTTTTTTTCTGTGAGAACAGTATGTTTGATGTGCAGTATTCTCTAATGTAGTGTCTTCCAGGTGTTTTGGAATACAATTGCTGTGCTAGCTAAGGATTATGGGAAGTGTTGTGTAATATACTGTATGTGGGTGACACCAAGTGAATAAGGCTGCTTTAATTTATTTAGATCAGACTTACTGTTTAATGGGATGCAGATGATTATTTATACCCTTGTTTCTTAAACTTGGCAACTTTAAAATGTTTGGACTTCAACTTCAGTAATTCCCCAGCCAGTATAGCTAACTGGGGAATTATTGGAGTTGAATGCCACATATCTTATAATTGTCAAGTTTGAGAAACACTGATTTACACCACAAATTCTCAAGATAGTCCTCTTTCAAAAATTTTCTTTAGATTTATAGGAAGAACATATAGAAATATAGAATGCTGTAGATGCCCCAGAAACAGAATGTTGATGTTAAAGGAAAATCTGAATAGTGTTGGTCATGAGTCATTAAGTACACAGAAAGAGCAGCCAAACAAGATAGATGAAAGAAAAACTGATGTCCTTGTAGATTTAACTGACTGGAAAAAAGAAATGTGTTTATTTAGGAATATTGTATCTAGTTTCTCTTTTCAGGACTTCTAGGGCAGAAAGTAATATTTGAACAATGTTGCTTGCAGCCTTCCTGGTACCTTTCAGATGTGTTTGGCCAGCAACTCTTTCCAAAATTATCTGCTGGAAATTCTGAAAGTTGCTTCCCAAATGCATCTGGACAGGTCATATTGCAGCAGATAAAACGATTAAAAAGAATAAAATGACAGTAATAGAATCCAATAATGAAGAAAGGCACAAGGCAAAAACAACACAGTAAAATTCATGACCAGACTGTATCAAGTAGCATATTTAGAAGTAAATTAAATGTGACATCAGATATTGAATAAATATATATTCTAGAAGAGGATAATTAGTTCTTTCTTCTCATGACTTTCTCTGCAATATATTTTAACATGGCAGGTGAAAGGAAGAATAGCAGGTTATTAAAAATATAATTATAAAATTGAATTCTTCATTGAACCTGGGGAAGAAACAAATCACGTTTACAAACATTAATTTGAACATTCAAAAATTACTAGACAATATAGTAAGATAAAACCCAACAAATTAAGTATGACTTTTCAAAAAAGAAGTACGGATGTCAAAGGAGTAGAAATTTCTAGGAAATATCAGATTAAATAATTCAAAATAAAATTAACTTTTTTTTTTTAGTTTTGGGGTGGTGTTGGACAGACTTTTCCAAAAAAACATGTATCAAGAATTCACTGCTGCAAATCAGTGCATCTTTTTGTTGTGTATAATTATTATTTTAGTTATATTATATGACGAAAGTATTCATAACTTGTGGCTTGACAGATTTCTCTCTAGTTCTAGAAATATGGTAATATATTTTATATAGACAAACTAGGGATATCACATAGGAGAACAAATGTATCCTGAACAAATTGTGATTGTTATTAACTGTTCTGGAAAGTTAGTAGAAGGATACATGCCAGGTATCAATGATATAAAAGTTGTGATGTAGGCAGGGGAAAGTCTGTATCAGGGTTACATCATTGTGCTGGCAACTCAGCACACATCATTTCATCACAATGGGTCTCAAAAGTTTTATCAGTATATAGATTTAGCCTTGTCCAGGATGAACAGACATCATTCCAATAATGACACACAGTTCCCCTTGAGTAGCATTTAGCACATCGGAGAGCCAGTTGGTTTTGTATAATTGCTTGTCTCATTCCAACAAGTTCTTGATTTACTGCTGCTAGGGCATTAACAGTAGTGTTCAAGGACTGTGAAATGAGATCTGCAAATTCATTAACTTTAATCATGATATGCCCCACTCCAGCAGGGAAAATTAAAGATACTCCATAGTTCCAGTATTAAAAAGCATTCCTTTTTTTTTGCCATCCACAGTACCTTCCAAGTATAATAATTTAAAATAGCATTAATGATTGCATGACCTCTGTAGATAAAATACCTGTAAATAAGTAAATAGATCAATGAATAAGTAAAGCGGGCAAAGTGGCTTTAAAATAATAATGCAACCAAACCATCCCTCGGTAACATCTGTTTATCCAACGGGGGAAGCCAAGGCCACGCACATGTTCCAGATGCTCCCATTTGGTGCATCCATTTGCCATCCTGGAACATTCTCCCAATTTGTAAACAGTGACATTAAGCTTCCTTTCTTTCCAATATAAAGTGATTTTACTGTTTTCCCACTATTGTTCACCTGTTCTTTCCATCTTAGGAGACCTTCTCTCCTTTTTTGTGAGATGTTTTCTCCCAAAAAATGCCTGCTGATTTGACTGGCAGAACAAATAAGGGTGTTATGTAAACACAACTATTAAATATCTGCTACCCGTATGTTGCCATTCATGTCATGGCTGATTTATGATACATACTGGCATTTTTAGCCTTCGTCCCTGTCTCATGATAACTAAAAACAATATTATGAGAATCCTCATCCTTGTCATTACCATGAAAAGTTTATCATCAGTTAAATAGGATAAAGAGATATGTTTCTTTTAATACTTTCCTAAAAGCATCTAGCTGATAATAATCATGTCCTAATAAAGTCTCTGTATACAATTGGAACCCACCATGTCCATGTAATGGCAAAGCAAAACAAAGCCAACTATTATATCCCTTATTTATTGATGCATACATATGCATCCACGAGAAGAAACTATTTGTGAGACCTCAGTGTTCTTCAGAAACTAGTGCAATCAAAATAAATAGCAGACTGAAAAAGATGCTCATTTAGGAGATAGAAGATGGTTAGGGACAAGGATATCTTTATTCTCTTTCTCATTTAAAATAATGCTTATTGCTTCTCCTGCTACTATCAGCATTTTGGTTTTTGATAACATCCTTTCTTTCCTATTGATCCAAATCCACTGTTGCCCTTTAAAGAATTATATTCTGTCCCATCTACCTCTTTTATGGGCAGATAATAGATTTTTCTAGAAATAGCTGGACAATCTATTCAAATGCTGCTTTCTCCTCCATTATATAAAACAGCCTGGTGTTCCCCTTGGTAAACTGGATCTCTTATTACACCAACTAACACCTGGATTCCCTTTACAGCTAGATCTGAGGACAGTCTGGCCATATGTGCCTTAAGGTAAACAAATGCAAATTCCCAAGGGATTTTTTTTCAACTTTCGATACAGTTATGACCACAGAACAAGAGGTACAGAGATCTAGCCTAATTGCTTTTGAAGTGCCCCTAATAGCAATAGTGCATCTTTAGGGCTATCTGCTTCCAATGATACCTGTCTATTTAAAAAAATAGGAGAGTATTATTGATAGGGATATCATACTCATATCCTTTCGACTGCCTTCCATTCCTATGGAACAATATTTCTCGTGTGATTAGAATGGCTCCATATCTTGGGAAGCTGGCAGGGAGTGGGGCAACTGTAATTTCTGATTAATGGGCTCTCATAGCCTCATATTTAATAGCAGTTGAATGTGGGGATCTTATTAAAACTTGAACACCAAAATGTACAACTATGTGGGAGATGAAGCTAGGAGTCATTCTACCTGTTCTTGGTGGAGCACTATCACTAAACTCATAACTCTGAGAATATGGGAGAAAGTCCTTGGAATTCATGAGTAATAACTTCCGATAAACAACCACAAGATTTAACTCCAACTCTAATATTACAGCTGTTATTGCCATTTATAAGAGGACTTGCTAATTTTGGTGTCTTGTCCTTCTGATGGGAAATAGAGGGCAGTGTAATATAATTGAACGAGAATGAACTATCCTAATAAAAAAAATCAATTTATTTTATAGGTGGACCTGGTGAAAGGGGAGATCCAGGACCCTCAGGAGTTGCTGGTGTTTTAGGTCCTCCAGGAGTGCCAGGATTTACAGGACTCCCAGGATCAAAGGGGGAAAGGGGGGAAAGTGCCACTGTCTATCGATCTGCCTTTAGTGTTGGTTTAACATCCAGAGTTTCTTCTTTTAATATGCCTATCAAATTTACGAAGGTCTTCTACAATGAACAAAATCACTATGATACAGTTACAGGAAAGTTCCAATGCACCATTTCCGGAGTATATTATTTTGCATATCATCTCAGTGTATATGCCTCAGATGTGAAAGTTAGTTTATTCAAGAAGGCCACGGCAATCATGATCACCTATGACCAGTACCGGGAAAACGATGTGGATCAGGCTTCTGGATCTGTTTTACTCCATTTGGAATCGGGAGATGAGGTCTGGCTACAGTTATATGGAGAAGAAAACAGTAGTGTCTATGCTGATAATGTTAATGATTCAACTTTCATGGGATTTTTACTTTACCCTGATTTGAACTACAAGTCGTAGAATGGGGATGAAGTAGGGAAGATGGAAGAACAGCCAAGCATGATATGGATTCCATTTTTCTTGTAGACTTCTGGTATGTTAGAAACACAAAATAACCTTGAAGGTGGTTCAAATTTGAATGTTTATTGCTTGCATATTATGATGACTTGTATGTGTAAGTCAGCAAATATTTGTATTCCTTCATACCATTTCAATGGTTTTCAGTTCATATATTCAGTTATCTTATGCAATAATCAGATACAATGAAATCAAGTAATAAGCATATGCTGGAACATGAGTATGTGTGCACAAACACACAGAGACACAGGATTTCAGCCTGTATTCAAGATAATGTTACAGTATGTTTACTTATAGTTACACCAACAAAAAATAAACATTGATTGGATTAATTTTGGATTAGCATACATAGAGCCACTGTGGTTTGTAAACCATATTTTATAGCTTTTATATATTGTATTAAGGCTTAATGGAATTTGGTTTTGGATTAGCATGTACTATACATACAACCACTATGGTTTGTAACCCATATTTTATAGCTTGGCATGTTGTGTGAATTTAGCTAATTATGATTTATTTAATAAATTATGGTAATATCATGTTGTGTGAATCAAGCCAGTGAGATAAAGCTTTAGCATCACAATTTTCAGAATGATTCTTAAATTAAAATTTCAGTTGCATTTAAACTCATTATCTTTGTTCCTTTAATGGTTCTTTGGTTTGGTTTCTTTTGTTTTTCATCATAGATTATAAAAGCTTTTATGTTTAGAACACCAGACATTATATTGAATTATAAATGAAAAAATTGTTCACTCATAGTTCTATTTCTTTTGGGCTTAAAATTATATTATTTTGTAGGAAAATGCTACACACAGGGGTTGTTGTTATTTTATTCAGAAGATCTGGGTTTTTTGATGAAGGGATATAATTATGAATTAATAATTTCAGGGAAAAATTAATCCTGCAAGCACCAACATTGTGAAATCTCAAAAATGGCTAGGTTGATGATTGGCTATGATAGAGCAATTACTGCTCTCAAGCAATGTGCTTGAGATGTGAAAACCTACTTGACCAATCTCCTTACATATAATTCTGAGCTATAAAAACATTCCATATAAATTAAGTTTGTGTTGTAGAGACAATCCCCTTAAATTCATAGCCCATATTCCATGTATATTGAGCCTCCAATAGGGACACAAGGCCCATTTCACAACTCCCTACTTGGTGAAGTATCCAGCCATTTTCAACTTACTTTAAATAGAGCTATTCCTGTTGGATCAATATGATTCAGTTTCCTTGAATGTAGCAAAATGTTGTTCTATCTGCAAAACTCAACATGCGTTGATTGTCTCAATAATGTAGTTATAATTTTATGTTTGTTGAATTACTTGAAGCTGAATAGTTGTCTTAAGTTGCAGAATTCTAGTCAGTGATCATAATAAAAAATGAAGGCATTAAGACAGAATTGGGACAAAATATATCTATTCAGTATTCACAGTGAACCCTATGATACATGCTTGCTATTAGTTCATTAAAAAGCACACAACTTAGCTATTAAAAAGCCATCTTGATTATTCATAATCCAAAATCTCTACCATACTTTCTGGGAGGGAATACCTGTGAGTTGCTCATCTATTTTTATGTTAGTGATGCAATTTCTCCTTTTTCTTCATTCCCTTTCTGCCATACACAAAAAGACTCTGGTTATTCCATTATGGTAATTAAAGACAATTTGCCCTGAGCTAACCACATATCAGCCAATGAACCACGGTGGCACAGTGGTTAGAGTGCAGTACTGCAGGCTACTTGTGCTGACTGTCGGTTGCCTCCAATTTGGAAGTTCAAATCTCACCAAGCTCAAGGTTGACTCAGCCTTCCATCCTTCCCAGATGGGTAAAATGAGGACTCAAATTGTTGGAGGCAATATGCTAACTCTGTAAACTGCTTAGAGAGGGCTGTAAAGTACTGTAAAGTGGTATATAAGTAAGTGCTATTGCTATCTTCACTGAGACTGAATAGCCTAAAGGCCATAACACTTAAAACAAATGTCACTGCTAGATTTATTAAGATTCATTTCAGTGTTTAAGAATATTTAACACTGACAGAAAGGAATAATCCACTGGACATGTAATAAAATATAAAAGAAAATGGAGAGGAATACTAAAATACAAAGATGCATTAAGATGCATTAACAAAACAGAAAATAATTTAAACTATAATTGAAAGAATTATTGAAATAATAAGACATTCTAATGTATAACACAGACTAAACTATGTTTCCCTTGAGTGAACATCCTTAAATGAACTTATCTTTCAAAGGCACAGAAAGCAATTTCCAAAAAAAGTAGAGTAAGCATCAGGATTTGAGAAAAGTTGTTTGAATGGAGGGATTATTACAGTAGCTCTTTTAAAATTGAAGTTAAAAATGGACCTATGTACCAGGTATTTTAGCAAAATTAGTCATAAAGCATCAGAAATTATTCTACAAATATATAAGGCATACATAAATGATATTTTATGCATAATTGATATGTATTAATATTGTTAGCATCATTATGAAATATATTTTAGAAGGCATAGCACAGAATCTTAATATATATTAACTAGTACATATTATTCTTTCAAAGTTTAGCCTATTATGAGATCACATTTAGTTCCTTGTAACTCGGTCAGTAATTATCTCTGTTCTGTAATTTACTTTGTCGCTTTTGGCTCAGTGAAACTATTTCTGGGAAAATCTCATTGATAAAAAATATTTGAGATCTCAAGCTAACCTGCAGTCACTGCAAATATCCACAAGAGGGTGCCAAGCTATCAATAACAAAGATAATTTTCCAATAGGTTCTCAAGTGCTTGTTTTTTTTTAAGACTAGAAGTGAACAGAGATGCCAGAAATAAATTAGGTTTTTACCTAAATCAAAATACAACTTGCTTTCTTTTATTTAATTAGTTTTCATCACTTGAATGTACTTTTTTTGGCTGATCTATAGAGCTTATTATTGTTTAGAATCCTCAAGTAGGTGGCACTAAATAAAAGAAATATTAAATGTTCAGAATATAACTGTATGATGGAATATTGCCCATGGCAAATGAATTCTGGTGTTTCTACCACAATATCTAAAAGGCATTATTATACCTTTGAAATCTGATGACTTCAAAATGTATTTTCTAAATAATGAGCTCTAATGAGCTTTAAGTAGAGTGATTTAATACAAAACTGACAGTTTAGAGCACTGTCAAGTTGAAGTAATAGTTTGATATAGACACCACTGTTCGTAAGTATAATGTGGCAGTTTGAAGTATGTTAGCCAGTCAAGAAAGTGATTAGTTTTCCCAAGAGACTACATTGCTGGTTCTCAGCATAATGTCTAAGGATGCCAATGTGCCAATGGACACCATTCTTAGTGCCTGTAGGCCAGTACTGGGGTGTGTGTGTGTGTTTGTCTTAAAAATATAAGGATAGTCAGGAATAATAGCAATAGCATTTAGATTTTTTTTAAAAAAGTTTTTTATTAATAATACAAAATTTAAAAAAACATTGGACATATATATGACATCACTGGTTCCAAACACTGCTAGCCAAGACAAATGTATAGTGTTAGAACAAAAATATAGATGTTATTCTAGATAAATGTATGTTTAGGAACTATATGTTTATATGAGTACTGATATTATTGTAAAGTAACGGAAGATGTTAGGAACCAATAGCACTTAGATTTATATACTGCTTCACAGTACTTTCCAGCCTCCTCTAAGCGGTTTACAGAGTCAGCATATTGACACCAACAATCTGAGTCCTCGTTTTACCCACCTTGGAAGGATGGAAGGCTGAGCTAACCTTGAGCCTGGTGTGATTCGAACTGCCAAATTGCAAGCAGCCATCAGTCAGCAGAAGTAGCCTGCAGTACTGCATTCTAACCACTGCGCCACCACAGCTCTATAATGGGATATCCCAGGAGGCGATGATTAAATGGAGTGTATGATAACTGATAGAATATTGATGCTTTTGAATTTTGATATTGGAGAAGACTCTTGAGAATATTATGGATAGCCAAGAAAACAAGCAAGCATATTGTACAAATTGGTCACTCAAATCACTAAGCTTGAATTACAATATTCAAGACCCAGCTCTCTTGAGATGCCTATAATTCTGGGAAAGGAAGAAAAGAGAATAAGAGCATTAACAGCAGCAAGGTGAATGGATGGACTTGATTACAGTAGTGATGACTGAACTGAGGGAAGACCTGAAGGACTACATTGGGAACAGATTATCCTGGAAACATCCAGGTAATGCAAGCAATTTGTCCCGGAGTTTTGGTGGGTGCAAAAGTTTAAATTACTACCCATGTACTTGGTAATATTACAATTAGTCTCTATATCTTGATCTGTAGACATTAATATGTAGGTAAAATAAATAAATAAATAAATTATATCCAATGTCATCTGTTGCCATTCAAAGTATTATTTAAGAGAGAAATTAGAAGGAGTCTTTCAACAATTCTATTAGTCTATTTTTATTTCCACAGCTTCTTTTTATTTACTTTTGAGAAATAAAATAGTAACATAAAAAATACCAGCAGGCTAACATATGGGACTTGGAGTTCTTTAAGTAGCTTTATTTATTTTTGTATTTGCATCTACGTGTGCATTATATTAATTTAAACTGAGCTGTAGTAAATTGCTCAGTGTCACTTATCGCGTGCCTTTCTCCACCTGAGTTCTCCTTTCTCTCTTGGTCTAGGCCACAACTCTCATCAGCTTGGAAAATGGAAGGAGCATATTGTGTTTTTGCTAATGATCAACAAAGAAATTAGAAGTAGGTTTTCCTGTTGTTTGCTGTAGTGAGATTTCTAGGAAGGAGACTCCAGGGGGGCTGTAAGGATTACAACATGTACAGGCAGCCTTAGGCGCTATAAATGAGCAAAATCACAGACGTTCTTAATCAGTATCTGTAACCCAGAAATTTTCACTGTTTCTGTTGGTAATATAGTGTACTGGTGGTAATTCAGGAATCATAGCTGTTATGTCCAATCGTGGCAGTCACAACGTCTTTCTATAATTTGTCTTTTTTTAGCTGGTCAATATGTTGTCATCACATGTTATCAGAACCCATCTGTACAGTGTAAGAAAGATGTGCAGCTGTTTCTTTGATCTTTTCAGTTGTTCACACTTACACTGCTTCTTATAGTCTCTTGTTGCTAGTTTGCCCAATAGATAAGTGCTATGTTTCACTATGAAAAGATGTCTCAACTGTTTCAACTCTCTGCTTGTCGATTGAAAGGTCGGCAGTTCAGTGGTTCAAATCTCTAGTGCCACGTAACGGGGTGAGCTCCCGTTACTTGTCCCAGCTTCTGCCAACCTAGCGGTTCAAAAGCACATAAAAATACAAGTAGAAAAATAGGAACCACTTTTGGTGGAAAAGTAACAGCGTTCCGTACGCCTTTGGCATTTAGTCATGCTAGCCACATGACCATGGAGACATCTTCAGACAATGCTGGCTCTTCAGCTTTGAAACAGAGATGAGCACTGCCCCCTAGAGTCAGGAACGACTAGCACATATGTGCAAGGGAAACCTTTACCTTTATAACCCTAAACATAAGATACAACCTTAGAGTAATATTGATTTGATTTGTTGTTCCACAAAGATATGCAAATAGAATGATTTTGATTTAGTGTGACATTTTCTCCAA